TTCCCATGCTTCAGATTAGGCTCTACTTGACTAAAGAATCTAACATTATTTGATTTCCATAGTGAAGGGCTAGGTCAGTGGCAAGAGGAGTCCATATGCTCTTCAGCTGGCACCTTCTCGGAGGAGAGAGAAGCTCTGTTTCGATCGTATTATGTAACAGATGATCGATAAAGTGAACAGTCATTGTGTCAGTTTAAATTATGCCCTCTGTCCTGACCCTAGACAAAAATTTGCAAAAGGTCCTCTGTTCAAATCACTATGCTCAAAGGAGAGGTAGCCTCCCCATGAGGCTTTTCCTCATGTTGCATTTTGGACAAAACGCAACAGTGGGACTAGAGAGAAAAGAGCCTTGGAAAGGAAAGGCCCATGGCAGTGCAGGTGGAGCCTGTCTGCTGATTGAAATAAGGAAGCGGGTCGGGAGCAGTGGCTCATGCCTGTAATCCCAGCACTTTGGGAGGCTGAGGTGGGTGGATCGCCTGAGGTCAGGAGTTCAAAACCAGCTTGGCCAACATGGTGAAAACCCATCTCTACTAAAAATACAAAAATAAAAATAAAAAATAAAAAAAATTAGCTGGGCATGGTGGCAGGCACCATAATCCCAACTACTTGGGAGGCTGAGGCAGGCGAATCACTTGAACCCAGGAGGCAGAGGTTGCAGTGAGCCGAGATCTTGCCACTGCACCCCAGCCTGGGCAACAAGAGCAAAACTCCGTTCCCCTCCCACCCCCCAAAAAAAAAATAAAAAAGAAAAAGAAAAAGAAATAAGGACGCAACTGACTGTGTGAACTTCAGGTAGCAGAACAAAGACCCAGGAATAGAAGTGAGAGGCAGATTTGTGTATGTTGGTTCAATATAAGGTATAGTTTCCTAATAGAGTTATTCTAAAACAAGATAGGCTGCCATAATAAGAAGTAATTTCTCCAAAGTAGACATGTTTAGGCATAAGTAACAATATTGTAGAGTGAATTCCTGCCTCAGTGGGGAGAAAGGACTAGGTGACCTCTAGACTTTCCACAATCCCATGGCATTCAACGGGACTAAAGGGAGAGCTGTGCTCTGACAATCAGTGTTCTAGAGAGCTACTTGATTCTGATTGCTTGTCCAAAGACTCAGGAGGAAATCAGTTCTTCCTGGGGTGTCTGGACCCACCAGACCTTGTCAAGGCTTTCTTTCCATTATTGAATCCTCTCGGCAGGCTAGTATCAAATATTACTCTGCCTTTACAAATGAAGAACTGAGGCTCAGAGAATTTAAGTTACCAGTCTTAATTATAATAGAATCCAGTCTTATCTGTCTTGAAGATTGTGTTCTTAATCATTTTATTACACTGAAACACTGATTACAAATGTATCAACATATTTAGGCACTATATAAAATCAAACAAACTTTTAAAATAATCAAACAGGTCTTGATATACACTTTTGTTACTATGTCATTTAGTTGACACTTCATAACAAAATCTTTATTTTTCTCTTCTAGTTTTCAAAAAAATCCTTCTTTTTCTCTCAGTTTTAAAGCTTCCAGGCCTATGACATGCTAGGAATAAATCGCTCTTCAAAAGTCCTAATAGATATTACAGGGTTTCTCCCACTGTGTACGTTAATTCAGAATCTTGTGGAGTATGACTTCTATGTCCTTAAAGGCAATAGTCTTTCTCTAATACCTCTTTTCCTTGCTCTTTCTTCTTTCTGTTCAGGAAAAATTATTCTCCCCTCACCCTCCTTTTTTCCCTTCTACTACTATCTGAAGTCTCTGTCTAACCACTTTGTTTCCTTTCTTATTTATTTATGTATTTTTTAAAACTTGTTTACTTCTTTTCCTTTTATTTGGAGACAAGGCTTGCTCTGTCAACCAGGTTGGAGTGCAGTGGTATGATCATAGCTCACTGCAGCCCCGTACTCCTAGACTTAAGTGATTCTCCCACCTCAGCCTGCTGAGTAGCCAGGACTACAGGCATGTCCCACCATGCCCAACTAATGTTTTAAGTTGTTTTTGCAGAGACAGAGATCTCACTGTGTTGCCCAGGCTGGTCTGGAACTCTTGGCCTCAAGCAATTCTCCCATCTCAGCCTCCCAAAGTGCTGGGATTACAGGCATGGGCCACTGCGTCTGGCACTATTTCCTTTCAATCAGAAAAAATTTACTCTAGTAACTAAATTACTAATTCATTCAGGTAACCTTCTCCTTAATCGCTTCTCAATTAGCTTAAGTGATTTCTTTGCTAAACCCTGCAGTTTTACAATCTGCTGTGGCCAACCTGCATCCTCAGAGAAACTTACGAAAAATCGGGGGTGGGGGGGTCTCTCTGGATCTATTCTGGTTCTGGGGCTGCCCAATTAAACAAAAAGAGCCGGGCGCGGTGGCTCAAGCCTGTAATCCCAGCACTTTGGGAAGCCGAGACGGGCGGATCACGAGGTCAGGCGATCGAGACCATCCTGGCTATCCTGGTGAAACCCCGTCTCTACTAAAAAATACGAAAAACTAGCCGGGCGTGGTGGCGGTGCCTGTAGTCCCAGCTACTCCGGAAGCTGAGGCAGGAGAATGGCCTAAACCTGGGAGGCGGAGCTTGCAGTGAGCTGAGATCTGGCCACTGCACTCCAGCCTGGGGGACAGAGCAAGACTCTGTCTCAAAAAAAAAAAAAAAAAAAAAAAAGAAAGAAAGAAAGAAAGAAAAGAAAACCCTTTAAATACTTTTTTTAAAAAAAAAAAACGGAGTCTCACTCTGTTGCCCAGGCTAGATAGAGTGCAGTGGTGCAATCTCAGCTCACTGCAACCCCTGCCTCCTGGGTTCAAGCAGTTCTAGTGGGTCAGCCTCCTGAGTAGCTGGGACTACAGGCGCCCACCACCATGCCCAGCTAATTTTTTTTATTTTTAGTAGAGACAGGGTTTTACCATGTTGGCCAGGCTGGTCTTGAACTCCTGACCTCTGATGATCTGCCTGCCTCAGCCTCCCAAAGTGCTGGGATTACAGGTGTGAGCTACCGTGCCTGGCCAAGGATTTTTAAAGGAAGAGACACTTCCTGAGTTGGTTACCAAGAATTTCCATTATTTTTTTTGTTGTTGTTTTTAATCTACTCGTCAAAAAGGAAAAGAATTTCTATTCAAATAACATAAGTAGGATGGGCATGGTGGCTTATGCCTGTAATCCCGCACTTTGGGAGGCCAAGGTGGGAAGATGCTTTAGCTCAGGAGTTCAAGACCAGCCTGGCCAACATAGTGATACCCTGTCTCTTAAAAAAAAAGGAAAAAAAGAGATAAATATAATAAAATAAGCTATTGATTGTCTATACACTGTCTTTGGTATCAGGAATTCCAGAAACATGAACATGAAGACAGTAGGTGAGGCAGCTAGTCAGGAACAAAATGACTTTAAACAATTACCCCCAGGCATGAGTAGGGGATGACTGCAAGCCCCACACTGTGTCTCTCTGGGCCTGCAAATCTCACAGAGCTGAGATCTCTTTGAGCTGTTTTTCTTTTCTCAGAACTATTTAAACATAAGTTATACCATGATAAAGTCATAGCTGTAGGAAGTCCATACAATTCAATTGATTTATATTCTCAAAAATGGTGTTAATTAAAATGATGTAAATGGAATCTGGTTTTCCCTTTTGAAGCTGTAAGAAGGAGATGAAGCGTCTAAGGCCCTGAAGCCCATGATTTAATGAATGCTGGGTATTTATTAAAATGAAAGAAGCAAAAAACTGGAAGGAACTTTAAAACCATCCAGAGACTCCAATTCTTCTATTTTACAAATATGGAATAGCAACCTCATACTCTATAGTCAATAAATTATATATCTAATGCTGAATAGTGTACTCTAAATAGTAATTCATCACACACAACTTCAAATTTCATAACAACTTATGCATACACTATAGAAAGTCTCTTTTAATATTCTTCATAATTTGTTCCTTGTTTTGATTGTAGCAAAGCAAAAATGAAAGGATTGTTGCAAGGAACCTTGGGCCAAGGAACTGAAAATAACTTCTTTTCTTCTTTTTTCTTTTTTTGAGATGGAGTCTCGCTCTGTTGCCCAGGCTGGAGTGCAATGGCGCAATCTCAGCTCACTGCAACCTCTGCCTCCCAGGTTCAAGTGATTCTCCAGCCTCAGCCTCCCAAGTAGCTGGGATTACAGGTGCATGCCACCACGCCCGGCTAATTTTGTATTTTTAGTAGAGACAGGCTTTCACCATGTTGATCACGCTGGTCTCAAAGTCCTGCCCTTGTGATCTGCCTGCCTCAGCCTCCCAAAGAACTGGGATTATAGGCATGAGCCACCACACCCGGCCGAAAATAAATTCTAATGGAAATTTTGACAAAACTTCTTGGGGAAGTAACTTTGAGGGAAATTTTGGGGGTAGTCTTTGGGTACATGGTTCAGAAAAGTTTGTCTCATCGTCTAACTTCATAGCTTTATAAATCAAATTAATGGTGTTGAGTTGTGGTATAATAAAGTATAGTTGGTCTTTATTTGCCTCCAGTTCCCGGCACAGAGCTCCTAAATTCTGGGAATTTCTTGAGTGATAGGCATATCTTTTGTTATTCATAATGAGCCCCTTTTGACCATACTAGAGTTTATGTTAACGAAGTGACTCAGGGTGACCTTAGACAGATTCAGGTTGGGGACTGGTCCCCAGAAAGACCAAACATGGGATCAGAGGGTTGAACATTTAGCCCCACCCTCTAACCTCTGGGGAGAGGGAGAAAGGTTGGAGATTGAGCTCAATCACCAATGGCCAATGATTTGATCAATCACACCTACATAACAAAGCTTTGATAAAAACTCTTCAACAATGAGATTTAGAGAGCTTCTGGGTTGGTAACATTGATATGGTGGGAGAGTGGCACCGCCGAAGAGGACATGGAAGTGTGACTGTAACAGGTTCCTTACCCAAAGCATGGCAAGTCGACACACTGACCTCAAGGATTGCAGCAGAGAAAGAGTTTAATAATCATAGGGCATCTGAACAAGGAGATGGAAGGAAACCTCAAACTTACCTCCCTGAGGAGTTTGTAAGGGGTTTGGAGTGGGCAGAGGTGTGGGGATTGCAGGGAGAAATCATGGACTGGAGAGATGAAGAAACTGCATTCTCATGTTGATTCAGCTCTTCTGTGGGGATCCTCAAACTGGTTGTGGATGTCAGCTGTTCTGCTGGAATTCAGGATCTGAAGAACATCTTAAGCAACTCTTAAACAAAAGCCTCATGATTCTAACATCCAAAATCCCACCTATAGAAACAATGGGGATGCAAATGGTCAGTATCCAGTGCTATGTGACTTTCAGTTACAAGTAAGTAGGCCAAAATGCAGCCTGACTCATGCTTAATTATAACTGTATTTCTGTCCAGAACCTGGCATGTAATTCTTGTCAACTCTGTGATTGAAACCACCTTTGCAAAGGTTATGACAATGAGAGAAATCTAACCTGGCTCACTCCACCTTGCTTCTAGTCTCACAGCCTAGGGCAAGGTAACTGTGGGAGGAATATAGCTCATAGTTTAAAGCAAGAATGAGAAGAGTCCCTCCCTGAAACTGATCCCCTTCTTTGCTCAGGGACTGAAACTGCCTTTGTAATGGAAGGGGCCTGAATTCTGCTAAAATGTAGGCATAATTTCTTTAATCTCTTACTGCTCAGGAGTCATGTGGCCAGAGGTCACAAGTCTTGTGACTTCCCCAATTGTTCCTGTAGGAAATATTCCTGTTGTGGAACCTAAGATTGGTGTTTTGAGATGTTTTTCAAACTTTTGTATTCAGGCAACTGATTAATTCCAACTGGACTAGTGACTTATGACTCAACTGGTCCTGTAGGCCCACCCAGAGGCAGACTCAGCACACGGGGACTGTTTTCCACACTCTTATGCTTTTATCCCCAACCAATCAGCAGCACCCATTCCTTAGCCCCCCGCCTGCCAAACTATCCATAAAAACCCTAGCCTGAGTTCTTGGAGAGAGTGATTTGAATGATAACATCAGTCCTTCTGCTTGGCTGTCTTGGGTTAATTAAGCTCTTTCTTTACTGCAATACCATGGTCTCAGTGAATTGTTTTGTCTGTGCAGCAAGCTGGAAGCACCCGTTGGGTGATGGTACAAGGACAGTTTCAGAAGTCCTCCACTTCCATTCACCCACAGCCTTGCCCTATGCATCTCTTACATATGGCTGTTCCTGAATTGCATCCTTTATAATAAAACAGTAATCATAAGCAAGGTGCTTCCCTGAGTTCTGCAATTTGTTCTAACAAATTATCAAACATGAGGGAGGGTCATGGGAAACCCCAAATTTGCAGCCAAATAGGATAGAACTGTGAGTAGCCTGGAAACACAAGACTTCTACCTAGCATCTGAAGTGAGGGCAGTCTTGTGGGACCATGACTTTAACCTGTGGGGTTTGCACTAACTCTGAGTAGTTAGCATCAGAGTTGAATGGAATTGAAGAACACCCACTTGGTGAGAGGTAATTGGTGAATGGGTGTTGGAACAATGTGTTGGAAAAGACACTGTAACCACCCAATGGTTTCGCTTTGGCCACTGCCTAGACAGAGCCGATTTCTAAAGACAGGGGAATTGCAATAGAGAAAGTGTAATTCACACAGAGCCGGCTGTGCAGGAGACCAGAGTTTTATTATTACTCAAATCAATCTTCCTGAGCATTTGGGTATGCGGGGATCAGAGTTGTTTTTTTTTTTTTGTTTTTTTTTGTTTTTTTTTTTTTTGTATTTTTTAGTAGAGACGGGGTTTCACCGTGTTAACCAGGATGGTCTCGATCTCTTGACCTCATGATCCGCCCGTCTCGGCCTCCCAAAGTGCTGGGATTACAGGTTTGAGCCACCGCGCCCGGCCGGATCAGAGTTTTTAAGGACAACTTGTGGATGGGGGGAAGCCAGTGAGCTGGGAGTGCTGATTGGTCAGGTCAGAGATGAAATCATAGGGAGTTGAAGCTGTCTTCTTGTGCTGAGTCAGTTCCTGGTGGGGAGGGGGCACAAGATCAAATGAGCCAGTTTATTGAACTGGGTGGTGCCAGCTGATCCATCAAGTGCAGAATGTGCAAAATATCTCAGGCGCTGATCTTAGGAGCAGTTTAGAGAGGGTCAGAATCTTGTAGCCTCCAGATGCATGACTCCTAAACCATAATTTCTAATCTTGTGGCTAATTTCTTAGTCCTACAAAGGCAGTCTAGTCCCCAGAAAAGAAGGAGGTCTGTTTTGGGAAAGGGCTGTTATCATCTTTGTTTTTAACTATAAATTAAGTTCCTCCCAAAGTTAGGTCAGTCCACGTCCAGGAATGAACAAGGACTGCTCAGAGGTTAGAAGGAAGATGGAGTCAATTAAGTTAGATCTCTTTCGCTATCTCAGTCATAATTTAGCAAAGGCGGTTTCAACACCACACATTTGGTGTCAGAAAAAACTCACACATGGATATATGCAAGGTTAGGATCAATTTTCCCCCAGTTGGTTAGATGATGTCATATTGTAGCACTTCTCACACTATGTGGAACTGCTTGTTTCCTTGTCTGTCTGTTCTATTAGACTGTGAGCACTTGCAAGACTAAGATGGGCCTTAATGCATCTTCATTCACTTACCAGGGGGAAATCCAGGTCTGTGGGCCTGAAGCTTACATAGTTTGGGGAAGGAAGGATTTTTCAAAAGAATACAAAATTAGGTATGAAGAAATCACAAATTACAAATATAAAAAGCTAATAAACACTATGACATCTCTGAAAATGAAATATTTTTCTTTATTAACTGCCTGACACATCTCTATCTTTTTTTCCTACTTTTTCAACTTGTACTCTTCGGTTACCTCTTTCTTTTTCTTTTCTTCTTCTTTTTTTTTTTTTTTTTTTGAGACAGAGTTTCACTCTTGTTGCCCAGGCTGGAGTGCAATGGCTTGGTCTCAGCTCACTGCAATCTCCGCTTCCTGAGTTCAAGTGATTCTCCTGCCTCAGCCTCCCAAGTAGCTGGGATTACAGGCGTGCACCACCACACCTGGCTAATTTTGTATTTTAAATACAGATGGGGTTTCACCATGTTGGTCATGCTGGTCTCGAACTCCTGACCTCAGGTGATCCACCTGCCTCAGCCTCCCAAAGTCCTGGGATTACAGGCATGAGCCACTGGCTCCAGCCTTCGATTTCCTCTTTTATATGACAATAATAAGATCATTTCCTATACTGATTAGAAAGGTCGTTCATGCTTTTCTCTAGCATGGTTGATCAACATGTTTTCTAATATTTCCTAGAAAAGCTTATTTCAGTTCCCCAATTCATTACTGCTAAGTCATGTAAATTTTCACAATGCTATCAAATTTTGGAAGCCTCTACCAAGTGTCTTACATATATGGGTTATAACATTTCAGAGCATTTCAAATTATGATACACAGTGACTAAACTTAACTGTTCTTTGTATTGACTATACTCCTATTAACCAGTGTATCATCAATGCCTTGCACCATCAGGTCACAACATCCGATGACTTGTCATGTTGAAGAGTAGAAGTATTCCTACCAGCCATTCCTAAGCTGGGATGGCCAGCATAGCTTAACTATTTACAGAAATGGCTGCCAAACACATAAACGTATCCCACTAAAGCTGAACTAAATGTATTCCTAGTCCAAATTACCTTAGAGGAATCTCAAAATGACTGTGAATCTCCAATGCCACTAGACACAAGGGAGAACTGTAGTAAAGGGGATGTCAAAGTGGAAAGAGATAATAATCTTAATCAATTGTGGTTAGAGTATCTTACCTCTGCAAATTTTGCAAAAACATATGACCACAAAAATATATTGCTAGGTGCCCTCTTGGAAGAGGCACATGACACTGAGGGTCTTTGAAGCTAGAGATTTACTGGCTTCATGTCAGATTCCTGCCTGCCTCACACAGTAGTAGTCACAAAATAGGTACTTTACAAGTGTTTGTAGAGTGCACAAATGAGAGTTCATCTGTGGGCAGCCTGTCGAAGAGCAATAATGATAGCATGCGCAGGGAAGGAGTGAGTAAGTGCTTTGAGTCCATTACTCTAAGTCAGGGACTGTGTGCTTTCCTTTTAAAATTTGTTCCAATGTAGTAGAAGAAATAAAAGGTTCCTCTGGTTAAAAACAGTGAAATGATTAAATCTTTACAGCTCTGAAAATAACTTTTGCAGCACATACCTCATAGTCTCTCCTTGCTGCCTAAAAGCAGAGAGGGCTGGCAAATCCACTGGGTAATAAGGAGGCCTCCAACCTCCCTGCTGCCTTCATTTTGAATATCCGCCCCCCCAACTCCATCACCCCGCAAGTCACTTTGCCTCAATACCCTGACGAGCATCTTGATCATTTCGGAGCACTCTTTAGAAACTTTGATTTGAAAAGGCCTTTCTCATCTTCAGATCAGGGCTTAAGTTCTACATTCATCAAATTAAAAAGTGAAAAGAAGCTTTTAAAAATGTCACTGGCACTCACAGGCACCATCAGGAGAATGCCTGCACAAACTGTTTAGGGAACACTTCTGATAAGAAGAAGAACCAACATTTCCAAAATCTGAAAGAATAACTAACTTTAAGAGTACATATAAAAATACATTCCATTCTAATAATTTGGGCTACTGATGTCCTACCTAAAAAACAAGCTATTTGCTAATTTCATGAAGTATGCTAGAGGTCCACATTGCTGTATGACTTATTTTTCTCTTATAGCTTCAATTCTGAGTTGTGCCCCGAGTTGGGATTTATGGGAAAAGGGTTGTGACTTAGCTGGGAGTCAGAAGTGAGCCTCAGAGTTGGCTAGCAGAAGCAAATTTTGCAAAGTTTGAGAAAACTAAGTTCATGGAAATAGGCTATAGAATGGATAAGGGGTCACAGATAGGAGTGCCAGAAACACACCCAGGGTAGAGGCCAATTGTGTTGGATGTATATTTGCAGTTTCTCCAATAGTAGGCAGTCCCTCACCCAACTAAAAATTCCACATGAGATATTTATTATTCTTGGGGTACTACTCAGCATCTGAAACTTCTTCCTATGTTTGGGGAATCCTACTTTATGAGTCTTAATGGGAAAAAGTGCCTACTTCCCGCTTCAGAAGCAGAAAATGCCAGATCTTCATTTCCCAGCTCCCATACTGGAAGATGGTGTTACACAATGTGAGCAAAGCCAATTAGAAATATCTGCCTTCGACTTTGAATCAGTGACACAGGACATAGATACTGCAGAGAATTCTTTTTTTTTGTTTTCTTCTTAAATCAGCCAGAACTCATTTCTGTCATGTGAAACTTGTGACTAAATTATAGCTTCTGACACCTTGGTCACTAGTAAAATGCCATTTTAGGGGGCTTGAAGGGCACTTTGAAATCCTGAGTAGTTCCCTTTAAGTATTCAAATATGACTTTGGGCTGCATTTTAAATTTTAGGCTGGGTGTGGTACCTCACGCCTATAATCCTAGCACTTTGGGAATGAGGTGGGAGGATAGTTGAGCCCAGAAGTTCAAGACCAGCCTGGGCAACATAACAAACTCTGTCTCAACTTAAAAAAAGAAAAAAAAAAAGCCATATATGTTGGTGTGTGCCTGTGGTCCCAGCTACTCAGGAGGCTGAAGCAGAAGGATAGATTGAGCCTAGCAGTTGGAGGCTACAGTGAGCTATGACTGTACCACCACACTCCAGTCTGAGTGATACAGCAAGATCTTGTTGACATGTGTTAGGATCATTGATCTTCATAGTAACAGTGAAACTGGAGCAAGTATTAGGAATCCAATTTTATAGCTTAGGAAAATGAGGCACAGAGAGCCAAAGTGCCCTGTCCAGGTGACAAAACTCATTTAATGGCAAAGCTGGGGATGTTGATATCCAGTCCTGTGATCTTTCTCTTCTTGCCTTCATAAATCTTTTTTTTTTTTTTGGAGATGGAGTCTCACTCTTGTCACCCAGGCTGGAGTGCAGTGGCGCGATCCTGGATCACTGCAACCTCTGCCTCCCAGGTTCAACAGATTCTCCTGGCTCAGCCTCCTGAGTAACTGGGATTACAGGTGCCCACAACCACACCTAGCTAATTTTTGTATATTTAGTACAGACGGAGTTTCACCACGTTGGCCAGGCTGGTCTCAAACTCTTTACCTTAGGTGATGTACCTGCCTTGGCCTCCCAAAGTGCTGGGATTACAGATGTAAGCCATCATGCCCAGCCTCCTTTATAAATCTTTATCATGCAGACAAAAGAAAAGCAGAGAGAAAGGCACATGATCAGAACTCAATTCAAATAAAGATCAGAAAGGTCATCAAAATGACCTGATACAGCTTCCAAATCTCAAATACAGGACCTGGAAGCAGCAGAAAAAGGCTTTTGAGTCCCCTGTTTTTTTACTGCTAAAGAGACAAACCAAGAGATTCCTCCTTCCTCTATCGGCCAGCTTAGATTGTGACCAATTGTGAGGGGCAGTGACAAGATAATCACTCACCAATTTTTCTCTGTTTAAGAATGACCTCTGTGAGGTTATATTAAGAGGAGAAATGACTGCTAAAATCATAGCCACAGAGTCGTAATCAGTCATAATTTTACTTTCTCTCATAAAATTCCCAAAGGAGATATTTGTACCGAATAACACACTTAAAACAAACCTGTTCTGCAGAATCCATTTCAGATTCCTCATAATGCTTCTGCTTCATATAAGAATTCAACTCTGTACAGAGTAACTT